ATGTAATAGTATATACTGTGCACACTACGTAGGGGAAAGTATGTATTGTGTTGCAAAGGATATGCTAGAGAAGGCAGTGAATTCAGATAGAGATGTAAGAGTACATACTGTGCATTCTACATAGGGGAAAGTATGTATTGTGTTGCAGAGGATATGCTAGAGAAGGCAGTGAATTCAGATAGAGATGTAAGAGTACATACTGTGCACACTACGTAGGGGAAAGTATGTATTGTTTTGCAGAGGATTTGCTAGAGAAGACAGTGAATTCAGATAGAGATGTAAGAGTACATACAGTGCACACGACGTTGGGGAAAGTATGTATTGTGTTGCAGACGATATGCTAGAAAAGGCAGTGAATTCAGATAGAGATGTAAGAGTACATACTGTGCAGACTACATAGGGGAAAGTATGTATTGTATTGCAGGGGTATGCTAGAGAAGGCAGTGAATTCAGATAGAGATGTAAGAGTACATACAGTGCACACGACGTAGTGGAAAGTATGTATTGTGTTGCAGAGGATATGCTAGAGAAGATAGTGAATTCAGATAGAGTTATAAGAGTACATACTATACCCACACTAGGGGAAGTGCAGTAAAGACGACGAAAGAGTTGTTACGAAAATCTAGTTATCAGACTTCTTCAGTATGTCAAGATACATAGATAAGATATACAAGCTTATAAAAGAAACCCATAGCTGTCAGTCAAAATTATCAAGAAAAATCTCAACAATTTAACATTTATATAGATAATCATAATGTGAAAACCCAGATATTGCTTTGTTGATAAGATAATTTTTATTAAAATAATAGATTTCGCGAGTAAAAGACAACCAGATATACAGATAAAAATTCCTTACACCCAGTCAGTTTAAAAACTGTCCGAATTCACAATCTTTCGGTCACATAATAAATAAACTATATTTTTGCATGAATTATAAATGACAATTTATTAAACATGAATTCAAGGAAAAATGTTGCACATCCTTGCATTATAAAGGTGGGTTTACATGGATAAAGTGCAAAAAGTTATATTCTATTATTAAATCATATTTCAAAAATATTAAAAGGGATGACAGTTGAAGTTATAGTGACAGCCTAATAAGCAATACGATATCCATACCATAATAAAAGAAAAAATTATATTTATATGTAACGTAGAAACTCAAAAACTACTGGAGTTAATTAAAAAATTCTTTCACCGTTCGAAAGCTACATTATCACTGACTGACATAGGATATGTTTATTACTAGATTTTTTATTAATTCCGGATAAAATCGCAGGCTATAGTCGGTCATCTATACTATTATTATAAAGAGGAAAACTTTGTAATGAATAGGCTCAAAAACTACAGGGAAAATTTTAAAAATTCTTTCACCGTTAAAAAGGTAATTTATCTGTGAGTAACATAGGCTATATATTTTACTATTTTTAAATTTCAAGCGGACGGAATCGCTGGCAAAAGCTATAAATTATAAAAGTCATACACTGAGTGTATTAAAACAGTGGAAGCCTACGGTTATTCAAACTGGTTTTCCTACATAATTCAAACCGTTATAAAACACGGGATTTCTGTGACTCAAAACATAGTCATAAAATATTATATTTATAGTATAACTGTTGTCCGCGACTTCGTACGTGCGAATTTAAAATTCAGTAGTCTGTGTTCTTCCAGACTATGTCTGTTAATTCATTTTTGGAGATACCATCCATCCACACAAACTTTCGCATTTAAGTTAGACTAGCTGTTGCCATGCGGCTTTATCCGCATAAAAATTTAAAAATTTCATTTTATTGTTTACATTTGTCAAATGTCAAAATGACGTGACATGATGACAACCTGGCTTCCTTGATGTTGGCAGCAACTTATGGTCTCTTTCCAACATTAGGCTTTTTATCCAAAATAAGTTGATTAGTGTGAAAATATATAGCCTAAAGCGTGACGTAAGTGTAGGGCTTTTTATTCAAAAAAGAGTTGTTCGAAAATATGCTATAATTGCTGACATGTTAGGCAACAAAGAAGTGTGTGTTTACGCTTTATTATAATAGTATAGATATATCACCATTTAATTGGCTATATTAAACAAAGTAATCTTATCTTGGATTACAAGTGTATTGATTTTAAAAATACTTGATTATTTATTATCTATAACATATATTATGATAAGATCAGTTAGAAACTTTCCCTTCTCTTCTTACTAATATTATAAATGCGAAAGTTTAGATGGATGTTTGTTAGCGTTTGTAACCTAAACGGCTGAACGGATCTCCATGAAATTTGGCACAGGTTCAGAGCATAGTCTGGAAGAACATATAGGCTACTTTTTATCCCGGGATAAGTTACGGTTCCCGTGGGATTCAT